GCATCACATTTCTTATCTGAGCAGAAAGCTGATACCTAAGGAATGCAACCTGGGAGCGGTCCAGAAAGAAGATTTGATGGTTGTACAGGCTGTAGGGAAATGGCTTTCCTTTCCCAAGGAAAGAGGAAGGGCCACTGGGACGTGATGAAGAACTCCAATCACAATCACCAGCTGAGGTTTGGACGGGGAGGTCCGAGGAATGTAGTAGATAGGCCTTGGGGTCAGACTCTAGGCTGGGTCTCTTCCAGAGTCAGTCCTTCACTGACTACTGGATGTCAGAGGCTACTCTCCTCAGCCATTAAGACCAAATGTGTACTTCTTTGAAGTTACCAACAAATTTCCAGAAGGAAGTTCATTAGTCAGGATGTTTTCTGCTGGCAAATACTAGATTTGCAACTCAAATTACCTTGAAATTAGGAAAGTGGGACACCTGGGTGTCTCAGCAGTTGAGCGTCTGCCTTCCGCTCAGGGCATGAGCCCGGGATCCAGGATCGAGTCCCACATCCAGCTCCCTGCGGGGAGCCTGCTTCTCCCTCTGCCTGTGTCTCTGCCTCTCTGTGTCTCTCTCTCATGAATAAATAAAATCTTAAAAAAAAAAAAAGGAAATTAGGAAAGAAGTGGGGAGGAGAGGCATTTGCTGGATTACATGCCTGTATCAGGCCCAGCTGGATCCAGCAGCTAGAACCACACCAGGAATGTCTCCCTCTATCCGCTGACTCTTTCCCTGTGATTTCATTCAGATGGCCTCTCTCCATGTGGAGGCCAACATCTTAAGGCTTTCATCACACCAGTTTAGCAACCTTAGAGGGGAAAAAGGCACCTCATTCCCAGTAGTTCTAGAAAAACTACAAGAATTGAGTCTCATTGGACTGGCTTGAGTCACCAGCCCATCCCTCATCCACTGTGACCAGGACAGCAGCTGGTCAGGTCTGTGTTGAATTTAGGCAGGTAAAAACCACATGGATTGGGAGTATGGAAGAAGGGGTTTCCCAAAGGTAAACAAGGGTATTATTATTATTATTACTATTATTATTTTACCAGAGAATGCATGACCAGCAGCAACCATAGTGGAGCAAAACAGAACAGGTGGGACCTAGCCATCTCCCAGAATTTTCTTCTATCTCTTAATAATTTCTGATAGTGATGCCACCTTAAGTTCACCTGAAGAAATTAGGATTCCATAGGTCTGACATAGACCTGTGGAAATTGTATTTTTACAAAGTTCCCCCAGGTGGTTCTGCTGAGCAGAGTAGTTTAGGAATAACTAATTAATTAATCTAGGGGACAACCTTCTTACTCTGTCCCCACTCGAAATCAAAAGTGAATATATGTGGGGCTCTAGCTTATAACATTAGAATTGCCTTTTTAAGGGCACCCCAGGGGATCAGTGGTTGAGCATCTGCCTTCAGCTCAGGTCATGACCCGGGGGTCCTGAGATTGAGTCCCACATCTGGCTCCCCATAGGGAGCCTGCTTCTCCCTCTGCCTGTGTCTCTTGCCTCTCTCTGTTTCTCACGAATAAATAAATCTTTTTTTAAAATTGCCTTTTTTACTCAGAGGAGGTAAAAACAAAGGATTATCCTTATATTTTGAGATCAGGGAAAAGAAAGTGTAAATTAACGAACCTGTTTCGAAGCCCATCCCCCACCTGCCCCTAATCCTAGACAAATGGGAGATAAACAGAAGTGGCTCCTAAGATGTTGGGCCAGTTAGCAGGCCCACTGGGGCTCCTCATGCACGCAGTAACTCATTAACTCTCCTGCTCCGAGGGCAGTAATCTGTCATTGGGATCAGAGAGTTGCTGAGGCCCGGCTCTGTCTCAAAAGGTGGTGATCGTCACCCCAGCTTGGGGTCAGACAGGGAAGGCCATGACTGGAGAGGATCCAACACGAGGGAGAGGTACTGGACCTTAGGTAACTTGATTTTAACTCCCTGCCAGTAGTTGCTTACCCTTGAGAATTCAGGACAAGCTGGAGTTGGATTAGCTACAATGGTAGAAGGTGCAGGGGGATGGGCAGGATTAGCCAAATCGTCCAATCCCGTCCTCCAGAGCCGATCAGAAGACACTGGTCAATTTACTACTATTATCGCTCATGTCTCCATCATCTCTGTTGTGTGTTCTTTGAAGGCTGAAGCTCTGCCTCACATTTGGTCCTGGTCCCAGCACCTAGCCCAGTACCTCATAGGCTGCAATTTCTGAAGCAGTATTTTCTAATATGGGTTTTATAACTCTGCAAAACACTTTCTCAAAGCCCTTGAAAACTGGAACTGACCCTACATAGAGTCTCTGGAGCTTCGAAGAGACAGCAGGGTACAGCCAGAGAATGCCCCCGGAAAACAAAGTCAGACATGGGGCCAGGATGGTGCCCGGCACATAGCAGGTACACAGAGGTTCACAAAATTAATGAGGCCCCCACTGGACCAGAGAAGAGGACCAGCACCTGGTATGGTGTCAGGTCTTGGTCACCTCAGGAGTCAAACCAACCCCCCAGGGATGGTCTGAGTAGGAGTAGCTGCCAGGACAATAGCCAAAAAGAAAGGACGGCTATAAATTTAGGTCTCAACCAAACCAAAAGAAATGATGGTTGTGTCCAGGCTTTCCTGAAGAGTGTGCTGATGAGAAAAGACAAAACAAACACATGGTAAGGGTACAGGTCAAACCTCTCCTGCTCTGTAAAAATAATGGTGACAATGTAATTTGTAATAACCTGCATTTTATGAAAACCAAGCACCATGCCCATGTCCTATACAAGCATTGGGAGATTCAGAAAAATCTCACAATGACCCTGTGGTGGTCTACTTTTATAGACTTAAGGAGAATTAAGAAGTTTTCCCCCATCGCCCAGCTCGTAAGTGGTGGGGCTGTTTTTGAACCTAGATCTGCATGACTCTAGACCCCACATAGGAACCCCTACACTGTCTGTCTCTTATAAGGGGACAGATATATTCTGTGCTATTTATGAATGAGTCAGATCTCTTCTTGGCTCCTCCCTCTGTTAGCAAAGGAATCTGGCCAATGAGTCCCTTATTCAAGCCCCAAAGGAGGCCTGGACCCCAAGGGCTCTGACTCTCAAGAGACAGCTCCTAGAACTCCAGGGCCCCTGAATGATTCCTGTATTTTGAGATAAGAACGGCTCTCATGGTCATGACTAGAGTCTATGGACCAAGTGCTAAGCAGGGTTTGTTGGGGCAGAGAAAGCCCAACTTGGGGCAGAGAGACAAAGGCTGTGTGTGGATCCAGGGAACATCTGCACTTGAGTTCTCTAAGCCCTTTTTCCCCCAAGAATCTTCAAGAGCAGGGTTTTAAGACCTCACTGGGGCTAGGCCAGAGTGGAGGGAACTCCCTACCTCAGGGCACAGGAGTCTGTGCTCACAGAGTGGAACTGAGACATAGAAGGACAGGGAAAGGGACAGGGAATGAGATGAAGACCCAGTTAGAGCAGCAGCTTCCCTGCAGCCACCTGCCTGGTTGAGATGGAAACACTGATTCCAGCTCCAGCCCCCAGACAGGCTAAGAATATCCCAGAAAAGCAACAGCCACCACCCCCGCCCTTCTTGATCTGCTCCTACATCTGGAGTGCTATGCTGGGTGCCAGCAGGGGCAGGGAAGAGACAGAGTGGGGGCTGATGCTTGGGGTGGGTACAGAAAGGGAGGAGGGGAAAGAGGACTAGGTGGAGGCAGGACAAGGTGACTCAGAAATACAGCTACTAGAGGAAGCTGGAAGGATGGGGCAGAGAGTGCTGTGCTCAAGAGGTGAAGTCAGGAGCCGGGGAGCTGGGGAGAGAAGATCCAGGGGTGAGGATGAGAAGGGCTGGCATTGGTAACCTGAAAGGGAGACAGACAAGGCTTTATGAAGGAAGGAATCAGAGCCCATGGCAAGGAAAAGGAGCCCCCAGCACATCATCATCCTCCTCTGACCCCTAATCCCGGGCCTCTGGCATGTGAGCATCAGTCCCTTCTCTCCCTGCCCCAGGACACTTCCTCATCCGTGCTTTCCAACCCCATTCTCTGCTCCTACTAAAGAATAAACCCCTCTTTGGCCTCCTCCATTCAGTCCTTCTAGCAAGGGGCCTTGTGGGAGTGAGAAGGATGTGAGAGTGTGGGGTCTTCCTCCTGATAACTGGCAGCACCTAACCTTTGTCAGGTTCACCTCTTCTCTCTGCCCATCCCCTTTGCCCACCCCCCTAGTGTTGCCTGGGGAGGGCTTCTCCTTCCACTGCCTCTTGGGGCCTTACTCCCTTCCACCCTAGCTTTCCTGGGCCAAGGTCTTCGGGAGAGGGAAGGACACGGCTGGGCGAGTACATAGCCTCCACCTTTGCACACCTCAGGAGCTGAGACCCCGGGGAGGGGATACTGGACCAGTGACTGGGTTGGGGGCAGCAAAATCCAGGCTGTCAGATGCCCAGGCTGAGTCTCCTCCCCCCTAGCTGTTCTAAGAACCTTCCTTGTCATCAGCCTCTGTAGGGGTCCCTTGGAGACATAGGACAGACACAATGACCTTAAGTTCTGGGGCCTCCAGCCTTCATGTTTACCAGGGAGTCCCTGAATCACCCTGGCATCCTGGCCTTTGTCATTTCAGAACTTTTCAGGGGCCCCACTAAAGCCTGGGGATGCCTCGGGAGATTTACATTACTGTGAGCCTGAGCACCCTCCCCTTAGTCTCCTGGGCTGAACTGCAGAAGTGCCCGCCTCTCAGATGCTGTGCGCGCAAAGACTGAGCTCATCGGGCAGAAACACGGTAGGGGGAAGCAGACAGGGCTGGAGCTAGGAAATAAAACCGACTTACAGGATGGGTTTTATTTAGAGTCAGAATTGTAGAATTGGAATTGGCTCTAGGAATCGTTTTTTAAGTCCAGTCCTCAAGATGGTATCTGATTTCTTTAATATTCATTTTGTCCAATAATTAGAGTAAAATATATGGAATCCCTGCGTTTTAATATGAAGAAGAGAAGGAGGCCCAGAGAGTTCAAATGACTGGAACTCTACCTCTTGCTTCCTAGACTATGGCCTCTCCGACAAGAGATAAACACAGCCAAGGGGCCGAAGAGTCTGAGGAGCATTGCCCGGAGATATTCCCTTAGAGATGGGGCTCATCTTCCCAGGGCGGATCAGTGAAGGGCTCATGTCTACGGTGAAATTGGTGGTGATCCTCATCAGTAAGGCTGTGCTCCTCCACAGGCTAATAACTTGGTCTGCGCTTTCCAATTCTTGGTCTAGGCCCGAAGTTCTTGCCTTTAAAGAGCCTTCAGGAATAACCATTTATCTGGACAGGGCGGTGTTCCAGGTAACCTATGAAGTGATGGAGACAGATAAGGAGCCTGGTGCGGGGTCAGGGGGTGGGGGAGTGGGTTCTCAACTACAGGAGTCTCATACAGCCAGCACTGTCCCAGAGGAGCTCGCACATCCATGAGAAATGGACAGACGAGAAGTGACCTACAAATACTACAGATAAATGAATCAATCATAGAATATAGACCCTACACACAGCCCAACTAGAAGCGAGACATAAGCTCCTTCTCTCCTCCATTAACTTTTTTTTTTTTTTTTTTTTAATAACAGAAATGCTGTTGGGACACCTGGGTGGCTCAGTGGTTGAGCATCTGCCTTCGGCTCAGGGCATGGTCCCAGAGTCCTGGGATCAAGTCCTGCATCAGGCCTCCCACGGACAGCCTGCTTCTCCTTCTGCTTTGTGTCTCTGCCTCTGTGTATCTCTTATGAATGAATAAATAAAAAAACAGAAATGCTGGGTTTTCTTTTTTTTTAATGGATCTGTTTTGTCTGCTTCCTTTGAAAATTCCATCCATGTTCATTTTGCACATCTTTGACTCAGGAGTCAGAGCCCGGCCCTGAAACAAATTGTTATGTAGCAGCGGTGTTGGGGAAAGAGGTGGGAAAGACTGATATCAGCAAGAGCACTAGATCCCTTGCAGTCAGTCCAAAAAGGCTTCTCGGAGGAGGTGGATTTTCAAGAGTTTGACAGAGGCGGCAAGGTAGTGGTTTGAGAAAGGGTGCTGGCCCAGTGGTAGGAGCTCAGTGATTCAAGAGGGATAACCAAAGTACGAGGTGGAAAGTGTGAGCCTGAGAAAGAGGGTCTGAGGCGGGGCAAGGTGAAGAATGAGAAGGGGTGTAAGACCTTTTAAGGCACCCATTTTAGGGACCCTCAAGCAGGGAAGAGGATTCTGGATTCTGACCCACAACTGAGCCTGGAGTGGGGGTACCTTGGTGGTGACATCTGTGGGTGCTGCACAGATAGATCGTTCTGCATGACACCAGTAATAGGCCTTACGTCAATGAGGGACTCCCCGGAGTAGAGCTGGGAGGACCCACGTGCCTATTCAAATCCACGTGTTTCTGCTAGGGCAACTCGTCTCTGTGGGGCCTGTCCTTAACTACTGGAAGCCTACGGTTCCTTGGGTGTCAGATAAAGGCTGACTCAGAAGGCCTTGTAGGAGGAAGTGGGACCAATTACAGGAGCTGAATAGAGGGAACATTTGTGGGGTTTTTTGTTTTGTTTTGTTTTGCAACTAGGGGGAGAAGGAGAGGTGGGATAGGTCAGCTTGGGCTGCAGGGGAATACTGATCAGATCTCAGGGAGCAGGAGAGACCCTGCTGAACGCATATTGGGTGCCGAGTCAGGAATGGGGGACAAGTCTGCACATGTAGCGTGGTAAAGAGAGAGGGAATCGAGACAACCAGACCACAGGCCTCCAGGAGGGTGTGAGTGAGCAGAGGCTGTGAGAGCGCTGAGAAAAGCTGGTGCCTCTGGTGGCTGAAGCTGCAGCCTAAGGGGATTCTGGAACAGCGAGAGTGGAAGGAACCACACCCACACCTATGCGTGCACACAGACCGACCGGCAGCAATCCTCCGAAGTCATTCTGGTGGTCTGTGAGGAACATGGAGGTGACCATTCTGCGGGTTTGGATGGATTCATAGCAGAGGTTTTTCTCCCCATCATACCCACCTCCAAGGCCCACTTAAGAAGCTTGGAAGACCTCTGTGTTGGGGAGCTACAGGGAGCCGGGCTGGAGGAGGGTGGACACTGTCCTATAAGGCAGATAGAACAGTCCCAGAAGCAGCTGGGCTCAGGGCCTGCAGGTAAGGCCCAGAGCACAGAGGCCTTGTGGGTGCTGAGGGAACAGAGGAACGGGCAGGCCCTAGCCTAATAGCTTGCAGCTGGGAGTGGGGGCAGCTGGGATCAGAATGGCAAGAAGAATTTAACAATGAAAACCCACCTTGACTGGGACCCAGGGCTGGGTTGGTGGCTGAGCCAACCCTCTTGGGCCTCCCTCCGCACAGATCATGAGGAGACCAACCCATTCAATTTCCAGCGCTTCCCCGGGAACCAATCATTCGTCACTTACCCTGAGTGTGGGACCAGGGTGTGTTGGCGGGGAAGAAGAGCACAAGAGGAGCCACCCAAGGACCCGAGCCTAGGGCCTCTCCCCGCAGCTTCGGCTGCAGAGAATCAGGCCTGCGGCAACGGCAGAGTCAGGCATATATCTGAGGGTCTTGCGGCCCCCAGAGCAAAGGCCCCCAAGGAGAGGGTTTGTGACCTGCAGGAAGGTCCGGCCCGCCAGCACCCCATCCCAGGTAGAGCAAGGATACACCTACGGCACTCCCCCCCAAGCACCAAGCGGGAGGCCGCAAGGGATGAAGGGAGGCGAGGAGAGCTGAGCTAATCGACCTGTGACCAGACGGGAGAAGCCAGAGCAGCTGGACCCAGCAGGTGCTGGGGCGCCCCGGTGAAGGCGCTCACTGCCCCGCGGCCCTCAACACATAATGAAAAGGGGGGGGGGAGGCTGTTCCCACGGCTCCTCTGCTTCTCTCGCGATCCAGGACATCGAAACAAGCCCACCCAGGGCCTTAGGACTTGGGGGGTGACGGTGAGAAGGAGGGGGCCAGCCAGACCCCTCTCCCCAGCGCTGACCCTGAGGAGGCCCTTCGAGCCAGGGCCACCTCCTCCTCCGTCCCCCCCTTTCTGGTGAGGGGAGAGGACCGGAGACCCAGGGTGGGGGTGGGGGCGGGACTCGAGATTGGTGTGCGAGCTTCTATTGGCCAGGGGAGCTGCCAGTCGGGAGCGCAGCTCGGGCGAGGATTGGCTGCGTGAGGCGGGGCGCGGCGCGGCTAAAGCCGGGGCCCAAGGGGTGGGGCTGACGCTGCAGCTGGCGCAGCTCAGACTCGGAGCTACCGCCGCGGAGCAGCCCAGCAACCGCCTTCCCCTGCGCGCTCCCGCGCCCGGGCCGGGGCTAGGCCCCCCACCGCCGGGTCTCCGGGGGCTGCAGCAGCGGCGGCGGCGACAGCGGCGCCGCCCGCGGTTCCCACCGGGGCCCGGGCGCCGGCCCCGCTCTGCAGGATGGGCACGGTGCTGTCTCTTTCCCCCGCCTCCTCGGCCAAGGGCCGGAGGCCCGGCGGGCTGCCCGAAGAGAAGAAGAAAGCGCCGCCCGTGGGGGACGAGGCGCTGGGGGGCTACGGGGCGCCGCCAGCAGGCAAGGGCGGCAAAGGCGAGAGCCGACTCAAGCGGCCGTCCGTGCTCATCTCGGCGCTCACCTGGAAGCGCCTGGTGGCCGCGTCTGCCAAGAAGAAGAAAGGCAGCAAGAAGGTGACGCCCAAGCCGGCGTCCACTGGCCCCGACCCCCTGGTCCAGCAACGCAATCGCGAGAACCTTCTCCGCAAGGGCCGGGACCCCCCCGACGGCGGCGGCGCCACCAAGCCCCTGGCGGTGCCGGTGCCCACCGTGCCCGCGGCCGCAGCCACCTGCGAGCCGCCGTCGGGGGGCAGCGCGGCCGCCCCGCCGCCGGGTTCGGGCGGGGGCAAGCCTCCGCCGCCGCCACCCCCGGCCCCGCAGGCGGCCCCGCCGGTGCCCGGGGGCTCGCCGCGGCGGGTCATCGTGCAGGCGTCCACCGGCGAGCTGCTGCGCTGCCTGGGCGACTTCGTGTGCCGACGCTGCTACCGCCTCAAGGAGCTGAGCCCGGGCGAGCTGGTGGGCTGGTTCCGCGGAGTGGACCGCTCACTGCTGCTGCAGGGCTGGCAAGACCAGGCCTTCATTACGCCCGCCAACCTGGTGTTCGTGTACCTGCTGTGCCGCGAGTCGCTGCGCGGGGATGAGCTGGCGTCGGCCGCCGAGCTGCAGGCCGCCTTCCTCACCTGCCTCTACCTCGCCTACTCCTACATGGGCAACGAGATCTCCTACCCGCTCAAGCCCTTCCTCGTGGAGCCCGACAAGGAGCGCTTCTGGCAACGCTGCCTGCGCCTCATTCAGCGGCTCAGCCCCCAGATGCTGCGGCTCAACGCCGACCCCCACTTCTTCACGCAGGTCTTTCAAGACCTCAAGAACGAGGGCGAGGCCGCCGCCGGCGCCGGGGGTCCACCCAGCGGGGGCGCGCCCGCGGCCCCCGCCGCCGCCTCGGCCGCCAGGGACAGCTGCGCGACCGGAGCCAAGCACTGGACTATGAACCTGGACCGCTAGGGATTCCCAAGGGCCGCGCCCGCCCCCCCACCCCAGACCCCGACACGCACTCGGAGCCCCCGGGACCATCAAGCCGCCGCCGCTGTTGCCGCCGCTCCGCGCCGTGGCCGGAGGAGGAGCCGCCCCTGTCCCGCAGGGGAAGGTGGAGGCCAGGACGCCAGAGGCCGCGGCTCTGGATTTGCTGGGCATAGGGTGGGGGTGGGGGGATGACCGCGGAAGGGGGACCCCCAGCCTCACCCTGTCTGCCTGTACCCCCATGTCTCCAATTCTACCCGGGTCTCCTCCTTCCCTTGCGTGTGTGTCCGCAAGTCCATCTCCCTCGGTTTTGGCCATTTCCTCGCCTCCGTCCTGTATCTCCATCTTCCTCCCTGTCTGCCTTCCCATCTCCCTCTCTGCCGTTCCGTTTTCCTATACCTTGGGTGTGTATTTCCGTCTCCACCTTACCCCCTACCTGACTATTATTGCCCCCCTTTCTCTTTCGGCACCTGTGTCCCCTCCTCCCCTTCTTGTTCCCTTTTCCCTGCTCCTGGCATGTGTCACCATCTTCCCTCCTGTCTGCTTACCTCCCCACCCCCCCACCTATGTCAGCTTGCATTTCTTCCCCCGACTAAGCCCCCCCGCCCCCCCCCCGCCAATCCTACTTCCCAGACCGAAGGGAATATTAATTCTTGATTTGGACTGACTGAGGTGCGGCGAGAAACTGCAGCCCCAGGAGCCAGAAAAACCACCAGGATGGTCCTTCGCCCCACCCCCACCTCCTCTCCCTACCTTTTTCCAACGTGTTGCATGCCGGGAGTTGGGGGGGGGAGGGAGATGCCGGCTTCAGGAGGCTGAGGTTTGGGAGCCAAATCAACCTAGGAGGCCACCCCGGCGGCGGCGGAGCCTCAGCGGAAGGGCGGGAGAGACACAAACTCTTCTTACTCTGGGGGAGGGGGTGCCCCTCTTCCTTATCCTTAGGTGTTTTTGTTCCTCCCCCTTTTAATTTATTTGGTTGTTTCCAGAGGGAGGGGGGAGGGGTGGGTGTTGGGCCGGGAGCTGTCTGAGGTGCTGATTTGAGGCCGGACCGGAATCCTCCCGGGAGGGCACCAGGGACTGGGTTGGGCCTGGTGCCGTGTCCAAGGTGCCAATGATGCGGGCCGACGGCGCGGGCTGCACTGTCTGTCTGTCCGTCTGTCCCGGAGAGAACTATAAAGCGCTGGAAGCGCCTGCAGATCGTTTTGCGCCGGCCTTTCTTTGGGCCCCAGGAGGGAGGGAGTGGGATTAGGAGTGAAACTGTCACAGACAGGGCAGGAGGGCCCC